TATGAACCTTGGTCCTCAAAACACAACACCACATTTTATTTTCTTAAAAATAAACATTTTTATTGATTTTTAGAGAGAGGGGAAGGGAAAGGGAGATAGAAAGAAACATTCATCTGAGAGTAGAATATCAATCAGCTGATTTCTGCATGACACCAACCAGGAATCAAGCTCCCAACCAGGGTTCAAGGTCACAACTTGAACATGTGATCTTACTGGGAATCTAACCAGCAACCTTTTGGTGCACAGGATGATGCCCAACCAAGTGAGCCATACCAGCCAGGGCAATGCTACATTTTCTTATCTGATGTCATGGCCTTGGGTTGCTCTTACTAAATGGAATCATTGGCTCTTCACAATCTAATTAACACAAGATCAAAACATTTAAATATCATTGACAACTTAGACAAATATGTTGGTAGTTGGTAATAAAATAATTTTAATGGATACCTAAAATAGCTTATTGGGAGACCATAATTATTTTTCTGATGCATGTGTTAATTTAACATTCATTTTTGGTGTCTCCCAAGTGCAAAAGAAAAATAAGAAAACATTCAATCTTTTAAGAATCAATTATCTTAATTAATTTGCATGTGTATAGTAATTCCAATTTTGTAACTTTTTTGTCTTAACACATATCTTCACATTTGTTTTTAACAACAGCGCTGTTAGGAGATCAGCTATTAACTTCTACATATTGTTCATGAAGGAACTGAGACTTAATTTGTTATTGCCTTAGATTGATCCAAGTGATGATCTTTCTGTTTAGTAATATGATAAAACTACCCACTGTTTAGTAATATGATAAAAACAGTTAGAAACAAGAAAAGAGGTATAGAAAGTCCTATCTCTCAAAATCAGACCATAATATTTTAGGCATAAAGCCAAAAAGATTCCAAGTCTACACATGTTATGCCATCTGAGACAGAGAGAGCACATATTTATTTATCCCGATCAACAGATGAGGTGAAGAGATGACTATTTTAAATCCAGCTATCCATCGCCAAATCACAGACTTACCACTAGAATCTAAGTCATCCAACCATGTCTTATTTGTAGACGGCCTACTGTGTGCATCTTAAAATGCAATCTAGTCAAGTCACAAAGCACATTCTCTTTTAATTTTTAAGATGAAATCAATAACTCTGATTTGACTGAAATCAATAACACCGCCTTGACCTACTAGGCCTGGTTTTACAAATAAATTACTCCACCCATCCTTCCTACCATATGTAAATATTCATTAACTAGGTAAAAGTTTGACTAAATGCTGCTCTTTTGTTGTGCCTCCTGGTTTCTAACTGATCCAGGTAGAACTGGTGTTGGGTGTCACACTAGCACCAAAGGAAGATATATGTTAAAAAGCCTGGAGGTTTCTCTGGGGAGTTGCCACAGGTTTCAGTGGAATGACAATTACAAGGAACACGGATCATTGAGTGCCTTCTATAGCTTTTACAATAGTGAGGATCATTATTTTAAGGTTCATTTGCATAATGGTTGGCCTAACAAGAACAATGGTGAATGCTAATAGCTTCAGGATGCAATAAAACATTATCTGGGCTGAACTTCTAGAGGAGAAGTTGCCAAGGTATGACTCTTTAAGTACTTAATTTCATCCCAGGTCGAATCCACACACAATCAAATACAGATTTCTGCTATCTCTTAAAAAAAAAAAAAAACTGGCAAGAAATGAATGGAGAGAAGAGCAGCAACCTCCTTATACAGAATCCTTACTAGTAGGTTTTGCTTTTTTTTTTTCTACATAACTTGCTGCCACCCCCACCTCCCAATGACTGAATTTAAAACTACCATCTTCCCTCCCCCAAACAATTTCCCACTCCGACTCTTCCCACGCCCCACACCTGGCAAATACACCAAATTTGATGCACCAAAAAAGAATATATCTCATCTTATGGAATGAAAAACTTTCACTGAACCTTTGGAAGAGATAAAGTTGACCATAGCTAGCAGTTTGTGGTGTTTTAAAGGCAAACAGATAGGGTTGCCTTAAACTAACAACCCTGCTTTCTGAGATGAAAGTTGAAGGTGGCTATTTACAAAGAGAATAAAAAGGGATAGGTCATCTCCATTTAGATTTATCATTTTAACTATTCCTATTGTGTAGAAATTGAATAGGTATGGTCATCCTGTACTTTGTATCCCAATGCAGTCTTGGGAGGTTATTTATTTTATTGACTTCTTTCTCCCAGGAGTTTGAACTCATTTTTACCACAAGAGGGCAGCCATCTCTAAAAAACAACCAAAGGGACTGGTTCTTAAGACGGAAAGAGAGCCAAAATTTAGGAAGTTGTGCTTGCGAAAGGCATTCATTCAGCAGTTCCTCAGAAATCGCACAATCGCCCATACAGCAATCTTGTGATGGGCAATACTGAAATGGAATAAAGTGTCCAGAAATGCCAGTTTTCCCTCAAACTCGTGACTATCGAAGATTATTTCATAAACTAACAAGGTTCCCATTTCGCAAGTTGTGAAGGCCCAAAGCTGGGAGACATCCTTGATGTCATCACCAGAGATTTATTTTTCATCTTTACTTGAAGAGCATCCAACAGCTATCAACTTTCTCCTTTTCTTTAAAAGCTACATACTGCTTTTGGTCTCACAAGTTGTGTTTTGTTTTGTTTTTAATCTCACTGCTGACAGAAACAATTGTTAATTTCTCAATTAAACTTTAGGAAAGGAAATAGTTTCAAAAACACAATAAACACTTGTGTCTATGAGTAGAATATGTTCTATTGCTAAGTTGTTTGGTGTCCAGTGATTCAGAATAACAGTCAACTTTCATAGCCCTTTATTTTCAGGGGGGAAAGCATTTTTAAAAAAAATATATCTTTATTGATTTCAGAGAGGAAGGGAGAGGGAAAGATTGATAGAAACATCAGTGATGAGAGAGAATCATTGATTGGCTGCCTCCTGCACACCCCCCACTGGGGATAAAACCTGCAACCCCAGCATCTACCCTTGGCTGGAATGAACCTGGGATCATTTAGTCCACAGGCTGACACTCTATCCACTGAGCAAAACAAGCTAGGGCAGAAATTCTTGAATATTTGCTGAACCCCAACTCCACATTTATTTCCCTAGTAGGTAGGCTTCCCTCTGAAATACCTTATTTGACCTTTATACTTTCAGAAACAGCAAGTGCCTAATTCCCCTCTGTGGGTTGCTAATCCGATTTATGTGAGCAGAACCTGGAATTGTTTTAGCTTCCCAACTGAAAAAATAATACACATGGGTAGTAGATTGTTATGAGCTCCTGCTTCAGATTTTTCCCTTTCTGGTTCACAGGCTTGAAGGTGCTGTGCAGTCCAATTTTGTTTTGCCATCTGGTCTTTTTCAAAAAATTTTTTGCCCTTGGCTGCTGGGATCACTTGGGTGACTCCATTGCCCTTAGTGTGGAGGATCCTGGAATCCGAGAGGGAGAGGAAGCCTGGAAACTCAAGAGTGTAGTGGACTTGGGGAATATGTCAGCTGAGAAAGACAAGGGACTAGACCATATGGCACAGACCTGCTGCTGGGGCCTGGTGGAAGGGGTTGGAACAGAAGGTTCTAAGGTCTCAAACCGGAATTGTCTTGTAGGCTTGGCTCACACCGTGCACACTTCCTCTGAATTAATCACCTGCCTCAGCGCTGGGTGAGATAAATATCACAAGGCATGAAGTGATTGCTACCATAAAAAGAAATAAAATCCCTCTCATCCTCTCTTCACGCTGCCACACACACACACACACACACACACACACTCCATTGCACGTGTCATGTATAGCAGGATGACATCCATTTCATATAGGCAGCTATATTTATAGAAATATGTGCATTAGCATATATTTACATGTACAGGTAAATTACATACCTATGAGACATACACACGTTTATGTGTATATTACATTTATCCGAATAATGTATGTGCACGTTTACATAATATAAACGGACACATGTGTTTACATATATAAATACATATATCTATGTGTTCAAGTTTAAACAGCACCCAGTTTTCCAACTCCAGTTTTCTTTGACAGAATGGTCTACCCCGAGCCTTTGCCAAGATGCCTTGTAACTTGGTGGAGTTTAGCTTTGTTTTGAAGGGTCTGTTCCCGAAAAACTTCAAACTGAAAGTTAAATAACGGGCCAGCTAGGGAAATAAGGATGTAACCCCGCATTTGTCCCGGATCGCGCCCCCGGAGCGAGAGCCAGAGTCAGGCGCCCGGGGAGCTCTCCGGGGCTGGAGGCGCGAGCGCCCCCGTCCGCGGCCGCTCGTCCCCGCCCTCGGCCCCACCCCGCCGCGGCGGCCCCGGCGCGCCGTCCACACCCCTGCGCGCAGCTCCCGCCCGCTCGGGGATCCCCGGCGAGCCGCGCCACCGAGGGGGAGGTGTTCGCCGCGGCCGGGAGGGAGCCGGCGGGCGGCGTCCCCTTTAAAAGCCGCGAGCGCCGCGCCACGGCGCCGCCGCCGCTGCCGCCGCCGCCGGAGTGTTCGCCCCGCCGCGCTGCGCTGCGCCCGCCGCTCCCGCCGCTCCGCTCCCGCCGCCGCCGCCGCGGACTGTCAGCCTCCGCGGGCTCCGCCGCCCACCCGAACGACTTCGGGGAGAACGCCTCCGGGATTACTGGGGTCTCCTCCGGGGCATCCGCGCCAGAGCGCCCGGCCGTGCGCGCCCCTGCGCCGTGGCCTCAGCTGCCCGGGCCGCGCCGGAGCGAAGGACCGACCGGCGCGCAGAGCCTCTGCCCGGGAGCCCAGCCTCGGCGCCGCGATGCCGATCCCCTCCTGCGGGGGCTCCGAGGCTAGGGGCGCACCGGCCGGCGTGTGATCGGACCCCTGACCGGCCGCAGACGGCACAGCAGCTCGGCCCGGGGGCGAGAAGAGCGCGACCACCCACCGGACTCTGCTGAACTCGCCGGAGGAGAATGCGCCCGAGAACGACGGGGCGCCCGAGCCGCGGGGGTGCCAGCCGGCTAGCGCGGATGGGGGTGCGCTGGAGTCAGGCAGAGTGATGTGGGGGGGCAGCAGCTCGCCTGGCACCCAGATCGCCGCTGCGCCCTCGCCCGGACCCCCCGTCGCCCAGGATGGCTGCTCCGAACCATGGGCCGCGGCGGAGCTAGCGCCGAGCTCCCTGCCTTCGTCCCCCGAGTCCCGGAGCCGCTCCCGCGCGGGGCCACGCGTCCCGCGGGCGCTGGGTCCTGAGGACGACGACAGCACCAACTTTTCCTTTTTCCACTGCCTCCCCGGCCCCGCACTCCTCCCCCTGCTCGCGGTTGTTGTGTGTCAGCACTTGGCTGGAGACTTCTTGAACTTGCAGGGAGAGTGACTTGGGCTTCCCACTTGGTGCCGGTGCCTTGGCCCCGGTGGACCTGAGCCGCACCGCCCCCGAACCCCGTCCCCCCTACTCTTTTGGGTTCGACCCCTGTACGCCGTTCCCCGCCGGAGGAGAGGAACTGCCCGGCCGGCACCCGGGAGAAGAAGAGGAGGAGGAGGCAAAGGAAGGGAACTCGCTCCCTGCGCCAGGTCCTTCGGCCAGAGCTATTTCCATGTGGAGGCTCTTTCAATGGACGTGTCCCCGCGTGCTTCTTAGACGGTCTGCGGTCTCCTAAAGGTAGAGGACGTGGGCCCGGGGCTGAGCCTGGGGGTGGGGGGTGAGCGCGGTGGTGCCCTATCGCTGAGTCCTTCCCCATCCCGGGTCCCGCCGGGCCGGACGTAAACAGAACCCCCTCCAAGTCCACGTGCAGCCGAGCCCCGGCTGGGATGCCCCCATACAGCTGCTCCCCTTCCCGTCCCCCACCCCACCTCCCCAACACACACACCCCGGGCGACAGCCTCGCCCTTTTGGCTCAAACTCTTCCGCCCCTCCTCCTCCTCCTCCTCTTCTCTTAGGTATTTTATTAGGGCTGTTAACACTTGGGTGATTAAAGAAAGCCAGAGATCCCCTTGAGACGATGACCCTGGCTTTCACCCGTTAGCTGCCAACCTGCGTGCCCTGCCATGGGACATCCCTTCTCCCTTCTCCGGGAGACCTGCTGTCCCTCCTCAGAGCCAGGTCCCCTTTGGGAATGTACTGCAGGTTGGGGTTTCTCCCTGCTTGCTTCCAGGAATTCCAGGGACACCTTGTACTGACACGTGAATTAATATATATTAGCTGCTCACGTAATCCCTTTGTATCTTGACTGCATCAGGGAGGGAAGGGTCCGGGGTTGGAGCGGGGGGGGGGGGGGGGCTGTCTGTCCTGACCTCTCTGAGGTTAAGAGGCGCGGGCCCCCAGGTGTAAGTGGCTTCGGAAGTTGTGGCCTTGGGTTTCCTAGGTCTGGAATCCATAGACTTGGGGGGCGGTGTGTGTGTATCAGGAAGTTCTATACGGTGCCTCTAAGGAAGTCACATGCACCACTTGTGCGTGTTTTTAGGCAAAGCGAGCGCCGAGCAGTGTGTGTGTGTGTGTGTGTGTGTGTGTGTTGCGTTTGTTTAGAGGACCAACAAGGGGTGTCAGACCCAGGAGTGGTTCTCCCACAGGCTCCCCGCACTGTGTCAGCGCGAGTCTCACAGAAATTACAGGTGACAGTCACTGACGCCGGGGGAGGGTGGAAAGGGGTCTTTCCAATCATGTCAGAGGACTGAAGAGTGGAATGGGAGGGAGAAAGTCTCAGGGCTCTGGAACGAGGGCCCCTCCATTCTCCGGGGCGTTATGGCTCCAGCTGACACCCCACCCCCCCTCCCGCAAATGGTGCAAGCCAGGTGGGCACCCTGGTGGCGGAGGCGGGCGGACCGAGCGGGAGCCGGGAGCCGGGAGCCGAGGCCGCGGGGGCGGGGTGGGGGAGGGCTGGGCGGGGAGCTCGGTGACTCACGTCGGGGCCCTGTCTGCAGGTCGACCATGGTGGCCGGGACCCGCTGTCTTCTAGCGTTGCTGCTTCCCCAGGTCCTCCTGGGCGGCGCGGCCAGCCTCATCCCCGAGCTGGGCCGGAGGAAGTTCGCGGCGTCGGCCGGCCGCTCCTCGTCCCAGCCGCCCTCGGACGACGTCCTGAGCGAGTTCGAGCTGCGGCTGCTCAGCATGTTCGGCCTGAAGCAGAGACCCACCCCCAGCAGGGACGCCGTGGTGCCCCCCTACATGCTGGACCTGTACCGCCGGCACTCGGGCCAGCCGGGCGCGCCCGCCCCGGACCACCGGCTGGAGAGGGCAGCCAGCCTCGCCAACACCGTGCGCAGCTTCCATCACGAAGGTGAGGCGTGGAGCAGGGGAGCCGGGGCGGGGACGGGGGCGGGGAGTCCTCCCGCAAGCAAAGCGCCCCACCCTGGGCAGGCTGCGGGCATCCCTGGAAGGGCAGCTTGGCCAGGGCACGGAAGCCCTTTCCAGTCTAGTCTCTGTAAGGAACCTTTCTGAACCTGGCTGTAGCTCACTGCCTGCCTGTGTGGTGGTGGGGGGGAGCCAGGGATTCCCCATTGGTAAATCCGCACCCTTTTCCTGGCTGGCAGCCAGCAGAGCGGCTCCTCCTCCTGGAACTGGAGAGAAATCAAGTGATGGGAAAGATGAGGGCAAAAGGCATGCCCCTAGCCAGCTAAACGTGCAAGAATCCCATAGGGGAAGATGAGAAGAAGGAGGGCAGGTTGGGATCACTTTCCGTCTGTTTGGAAGCCCTCACTCTATAAATCTGCCTCTCCTGCTTAAGCGGGGGGGTTTCAGGCTAGACCAGAGCCAAGCGCAGAATTTTCTGAGATTTGTATTGAAAAATCAAAGCCCAGGGCCCCGAAAGTCTTTCTAATTTACAGTTGATCTGGGCCTGGTTTGGAAATTTCCGAATCCCTATCTAATCCCTGTGGGAGATCAATTCCACAATCATACTGTTTCCACAATGACTTTCTTGTCTTGTGCTTAAATCTGAGATGAACTCCCAGTAGAGACAAGGGAAGCCTCAGATAAAGCTCTTGCAGCAGCTGCCTGTTTTCCTTCACCTGCACTGAAATGTGGATTTTCTTTTATGGTACTGCATGCGGTTTTTCCAAGGTAGGGCATTCTGCTTGTTTCATCGGAAAGACATTCCGTGGATACGGAATGTCTTAGAGCAGCTCTTGGAAATCTCTGTGTTGTACCAAGATTTTTAGAGCATTTGGTCAAAAATAGGTTCCACTTCAATTCTTTTTCTACACGTTTCTATTGCCTGCATTCTAAATAGAGAATAGAGCACAGGTTCCTTCAAGTTCTAGAGAAGGGTACAAAGTTGCATGTCACCGGGCAACCACTTGTTGGCTATTGGAGGGTTGGGAGCGAAGTTCCCTTTTTCTTGCCTAGCCCTGCTGAGGTGGTAAATTTCAAGTGGAATCTACAATCTGATATGTAGAAATGTTTTCATCATAGCCTTGCCATGATTAGAGAGCCAGCTCATCATTTTCAGCTGATGCTGGTTAGAATAGTTTTTTTTTTTTTGTTTGTTTTTTTCCCCTGGAGGGTAGAAAAATAAGAACGTCTGCTTGAGCCACTGTTCCTGGAAGTGTAGCATGGAAACCATTCTTTACTTTTAAGGCCAGGTACGTGTCTCTTATAACATAAAAGGAAGATCATTTAAATCATTTGACACCTAAAACACTCAGTTGCATGAGGATTCCATCAGTGACGGATACATATTTCTTTCTCTACAAGTGGCTTAATCAAAACCGAACTGGTTGCAAATTATTTGAAGGTGCTATTTTTAACTTAAATAGCATGCATAGTTTATAGGTCAGGATCTATATCTTTAAAAAATATAAATGTTATGTGTGAAATAGTACAGAAGTTACCAATTTGCTTAAAATCAACTTTTTAATAGATCTTGATGCAGTGAAATGATAGAGAAAAGCTATGTAATTTTTGCCTCAACTTTCAACCAATCCATTTCTTGTTATAACTAGTATATCAACATTAGGTTACATGTTGCATATTTTAAAGACCATTTTATATCTTCAGTAGCCAGGATTTGGTTTTTATAAACATCCCTGTTGCATGGATAGCCCTACAAATCTTTTAATAAACCATATGGTTAAGGTGGCTGGCTTAAGAGCAGAATTTGGCTCATATGGAATGAATAGGCATTTATCTGGTAAAGGACCAAAGGGTCAGATTCCAAGAGTTACTTGTTGGTTTTGTTTGTGGGTGGGATCTGGAAGATTTGGTGAAATTATGAGACAAGAGACATGATGGCATTCTTCCAACCAACGTGTGAAGATAAAGGGACCACATGGAAGGTGATCAGAGACAAAATTATCAGTTGTCATTTCTCCTCTTAAACTTTGTCTTGTCCTTTCTGCAGTGGCTTTTTTATTCAGGAAAGCCCAAGGGCTGAAAATTTTTTCTTTTTTCAAAGTCATTAAGAAGTGCTTTGACCACATAAGCCTTGCAAACTGCCACTGAGTATAGAAAAATTACTTCTCTAATTGGAAAGAGTGTTTTGTGCTTTGCTGTAGTGAGAAACACATTGAAATGGGTTGGCTTCATTGGCTGTGCAAACAGTCTTTATAGTTTCCTGTAAGGTTGAAATATACAAGGACCACATGCTTGCTCTCCAGACTCTGAAAGACAGTCTTTTTGTGTGAAATAACTGAATTATTTGCCTCTGTGACAAAAGTTTTGACATAGAGATTAACCCCATTCCCACAGATAGAATTATTGTGAAAATATCCGTACTTCAGGCAGGTTCCCTGTGAAGGAGAACTTGGGTCACATTCCAAGGGCAACCAAAGGATTTGAACAGTAGAAACCTCCGAAAGCAATGTTTTCCTGGTGGACTTCCCTGGTGTCCCCAGGTATTTCAGAGTGATTATGAAAGACCCCTGTAAGTAGGAGACATGTTCTATTTTGAAGTGCTCAGAGGGATTGAGGCTATGGTGCCCAGTGGTAGTTCTTGCACTGTTTTCTGTTCTCGTGTGTGTGTGTGTGCGTGTGTGTGTGTGTGTGTGTGTGTGTGTGTGTGATTCCTCTATAATCTCCCTTCTCTTTGAGCTATTTTGTCTTTGTTTTTGAGACCTGCCCTTTGTGTATTTCACTAAGTAGAGGACAATAAGAGGGCACCAAATCATTCCTAAAGTGTTGGAGCTAAGGGTGGGTAGAGGCCAAATCAGGGTTAGTGATTATGGCCATTATGACCATATTTTTCCTTTAGCTGCCATCTCCTTTGTTGTCTTTTTAAAAAATCGAGTCATTGTAACCTTTGTGTTTTATCTTTTCTCCTAGATATAGCAGTTCTGTAACCATTATCTTATATTCTAGAAAGTATAATTTATTCTCAGCCACTTTGATTTTATTTCAGGACAGTAATTTCCAACCTTACTGATTTTCTGGACTATCCCCAAGTTTTTGTTATCTTAATGGACCTTTTTTGGGGGTGGGGGGTGGGGGGGGGGGGGAGCATGTCCAGATTGTGTTGCAAATTCTCAAAACATAAGGATCACTCACCTTTTTTGCTAAAACTTAACCATACAATAGGACAAAAAGGCAGCCACAAAATATCAGTGGTTCCAAACAAGATCTGTATGTCCCAGCGGGCCCTGCCACTGCCCTCTTCTGCTCATTTAGTTCTTTGTGCTCCCTTGCCACACTTGGGTGGTGTGTTTCTATCCCTTTAGCTGGAAAATAACTCACCGTATGGTTATTATATTAATAATTAGAGTACTCCTAATAGTTCTGACTTTTGCTTGAGTTTTTGACTCACCTCTCTGTTATGTAGTGCCGTCTAGTGGCCGGAATCCTGGGAAATGCAATAGACTGAAGTCTATAGCTCTGCTCTCCGTCTACTAGCTCTGTGACCTTAGCAAAGTCACATAACCTCTCTGAGTCCAACTAGTTCATTCACAAAAGGGAGATAGTAGTTTCTCTGGGATCAATTTGATGTGAGGTGATTCATATAAAGCTCTCAGTCCCAGGTCAGGGAAAAGAAGCATTCATCACCCTAGCTATCATTAGCACTATTACTTCTTTCTTTTACCTCACATTCTCCCCTTATCTAGGAAAGAGCAGGCCAGAATAGACCTGAGATTTCAGCCTTATCTTTGGATCATTTTGATGTAGATGAATAATTGATGTAGATGAATAAAAGCTGGTTCTTTGCTTTTGAAGGCGGGTTTGAACGCCCTGGCCTTATTTTTCTTTCCCCTACATATTTGCCATCATAGCTTCATTTGTTTGGTTAAGAACTTTTAAATAAATGTGAAGAACATTTATTTGGTCAAGAACTGGGTTCAGGAACCCAGGTCTGAGATAGGCTGGAATCCTCAAATCCCTTGGCAAGTTCAAATTATTCCACAAGGGTTATTTCCAGAGAATTAACAACTGTACAAACCTCCAAAAAAGCATTCATTACCTACTTAGGTCAATGCTCTCTATTTTCAGACTCCCCAGGCTTGCTGTGATCATTTGCCGAAGTTTTTTTCTTTTTCTTTTTCTTTAATTTACGTTATTTCTCATCGTTTTTGATTTTTCAAATCTGAAGAAAAACTTGATGTTGAGGTTTTCTGAGAATTTCTCACTTCTTTCTCTGACCTGAGTCTGTAGTCAGAGGTATGTTGTCTTGTAGGTTTTTGTATTAAGGAGAAAGAGGGCTCCTTCAAGGAATAGGATGACTGAGATGAAGCTGAAAGTCGGAGAAAGGTCTTCACATTACTTGATGTTATTCAACAGTGCTCCCCATTTTCCCCCTCCCCCACTTTGTTAAGGTAACTAAGTGATTATTCTTTTTGCCACTTATCCCCAGTGAGATTTTGAAGCACATGGCATTGCCATTTTTATAGGTCAAATCTGGTCAAAAGGTGGCAATTTTATCTGATTCCATTTTATAGTTATCTTAGGAGGGTTATTCTATTTTATTCCTCCTTTGTACTCATCTTCTGTACTTCAATTACCTGTCTCTCATGCTTGCCTTGGCGAATGTCCCTTCCTCGTCCTCCTCTTGGCTATGTGTGTGTGTATCCACGTGCCTGTGTTTATAATTTTTTTTTTAAATGTATGCATTTAGATTCAAAGTTTCTGTTGCAATTGAGATTTCTCTGGGCACCTTCATTAATACAGCCGGTCAGCATTCCTTTTTCCTCTGATATCCTCTTTCCTTTGGCAGCCCTTGGCTTCTCTGTTTAACGAATGCACTCAGGGAAAACATCAGAGGACTCCTGAATTTCAAGGAGGAGAGGAAAAGAAGCTCACTACAGTTCTTGATGCTTGTTGGGAAACGCTGAGGGCGAGCCCAATTGCACGGGTGGGAGGGTTATTTTAAAAATTGTGCCTGGTCTGAAGTATTGCTCACTTACAGTGCTGTTTAGAATGTTGATGCCTCTCAAAAGGTATCCCCAGTGGGTGTGGGTTAGAGGGCTCACTTCCTGGCCTGATAGTCGCTGTGCCCAAGTAGATGAGTTTTAGGAGGTCTTTCTACTTCACAGGCCTCAACTCATTCCTTGGCCAACACAAGTGGTTCTAAGCATTTTTATATCATTCAACAAAAAGGCCCTTAAAAATGTGCTCCCAGCAAGTTGTACTTGAATGTGAAAAGCATCCCTTAAAACTTGTGCCCTCTAGTATCGCCTCATCTGGGAGCTTGCTAGAAATGCAGAATCTCAGGCCCTACCCCAGACCCACTGAGTGAGGTGTCCTAGCTGTTTTGTGAGGTGTCCTAGCTGTTTTGTGTGAAGGTTAGAGTTGGAGCAGCTTTACGTTGAAGCATCGCTCCATAATGTGGCATAGCCTACCCCTGTTGAACTCAGTGCTTCCACTGCATTGATCATGGCTGCTTTGATGATGAAGGTTTACACAGGTTTCCTAGCTCTTTGCGTTAGGAAAAATACAAAGAACTTAATGAAAATATAGTATCCTCTTATGGTGATGACCTGGAACTATGGCTAATAGACTTTGTTAGCATTTACATTGGATCCTGAATGAAGCAGATATGTTTTTTGAAAGTCAAATGACAGACTGTAGTAAAGCTAGAAGAAAATGCACCTAAATATTTCAGATTCTAGTGTTGTGTACTATCAGTTTAATAACATTGTGTACCTGTGATGACTTGCAGACTATGCTATTTTTTGTATTGTTTTCTTAAAAAACAGTACTCCTTATTATTGAAATTCAGGAATATTAAATCAGAATGAGCATTTATGCATAACCCACTTAAATGTCTGTTTTGAAATAATGACAGTAGATATATAAAGATTATTCTGTAATAGGATGAGATTCTCTTTCTGTGTTACATCTGTCATGATGGCCTTTTTATAGAGTTTTATCAGTTTTTTTGTTTTGTGTCTATTCTTGGGTAGGTGTTTGTTTTTTAAGATGATTTATTTTTTGAAAAGATAAAGGAATTACAAACAGGAGAGTCATTATGTTTCTTCTAAAAGCATCTAAAATGAGATTTTGATGTCGAGGTCATAAGGAGGTGACAGGACAGACAACACTTGGGAAGATATTTCTCTTGAAATTGCCTTAATTACTACAGTGTCCCAGTACCACCCTTACGTTTGCAAAGAAGTAGATTCCTGTACATGCCTTTGTCTCTGGATTTTTGAGTAAAATAGTAGGGTGTGCTTTGCAAAATGTCATCGTTGATGTTGAGTTTCAGAGTCTTTAATTAGGAAACTGAAATCTGTATATCGAGATTTGTAAATCATCTAAATTGCAGAGCAATGTTTTAGAATACTGCTTAAGGGATTGACATTAAAGCCTTTTTCTTTTTACAAAATGCAATAATTTCCTCAAATCCTCACTCATTAGACCTCTACTAACTATAGTGCTGACTTTTTTTGGCCTTAAAGTCTGTGAATTCCAAAGAAATGCTTCACCGTTTCCCCCATTATTATAGCCACCTGGAAGCAGTATTCATGTATTACATTAAAAACATAACAATGAATGATGACATGGTGTTTCATGATAGGCGTATTAGAAATATTAGAAAAGAGAGAGACTAGAAAAGGGAGACTATTTTTAGCTAAAAGGGGGAATTTTTTTATCTTCTGGCTGCCAGCTTACATATGGGTGAAATCATACGTTGAAGTGAGATTCACAAATTCTTACCTATAATCAGATTGTCATTACTCATCTTACCCAAGTATTTTTTCTTCTTCTCTCCCCTCCCCCCACCTTTTTATATCAAATCAGAATCTTTGGAAGAACTTCCTGAAACAAGTGGGAAAACCACCCGGCGATTCTTCTTCAACTTAACTTCCATTCCCACCGAGGAGTTTATCACCTCCGCCGAACTCCAGGTTTTCCGGGAACAGATGCAGGAAACGTTGGAAAACAACAGCAGTTCCCACCACCGAATAAATATTTATGAAATCATAAAGCCCGCAGCAGGCGACTCGGAGCTCCCGGTGACCAGACTGTTGGACACCAGGCTGGTTAATCAGAACGCCAGCCGGTGGGAGAGTTTTGACGTCACCCCCGCCGTGATGAGGTGGACCGCACAGGGACTGGCCAACCACGGGTTCGTGGTGGAGGTGGCCCACTTAGAGGAGAAGCCGGGCGCCTCCAGGAGGCACGTCAGGATTAGCAGGTCTTTGCACCAAGACGAGCACAGCTGGTCCCAGATCAGACCCTTGCTGGTGACTTTTGGCCACGATGGGAAGGGACATCCTCTGCACAAGAGGGAGAAGCGTCAGGCGAAACACAAGCAGCGCAAACGCCTCAAGTCCAGCTGCAAGCGGCACCCTTTGTACGTGGACTTCAGCGACGTGGGGTGGAATGACTGGATCGTGGCCCCCCCGGGGTACCACGCCTTTTACTGCCACGGGGAGTGCCCCTTCCCCCTGGCTGATCACCTGAACTCTACGAACCACGCCATTGTGCAGACGTTGGTCAACTCCGTGAACTCTAAGATTCCCAAGGCGTGCTGTGTCCCCACGGAACTGAGTGCTATCTCCATGCTGTACCTTGACGAAAATGAAAAGGTCGTATTAAAGAACTACCAGGACATGGTTGTGGAGGGTTGCGGGTGTCGTTAGCACAGCAAAATAAAAATAAATAAATATATATATATATATATATATATATTTTAGGAAAAAAGGAAAAAAAAAAACCCCAAGTTGACACTTTAATATTTCCCAATGAAGACTTTATTTATGGAATGGAATGGAGAGAGAGAGAAGGAAAAAAAAAAAAAACCACACAGCTATTTTGAAAAATATATTTATATCTACGAAAAGAAGTTGGGAAAACAAATATTTTAATCAGAGAATTATTCCTTAAAGATTTTTTAAAATGTATTTAGTTGTACATTTTATATGGGTTCAACCCCCAGCACATGAAGTATAATGGTCAGATTTATTTTGTATTTATTTACTATTATAACCACTTTTTAGGAAAAATAGCTAATTTGTATTTATATGTAATCAAAAGAAGTATTGGGTTTGTACATAATTTTCCAAAAAAATTGTAGTTGTTTTCAGTTGTGTGTATTTAAGATGAAAAGTCTACATGGAAGGTTACTCTGGCAAAGTGCTTAGCACATTTGCTTTTTTGCAGTGCTACTGTTAAGGTCACAAGTTCAAGTCCAGAAAAAAAAAATGGATAATCTACTCTGCTGACTTTCAAGATTATTATATTATTCAATTCTCAGGAATGTTGCAGAGTGGTTGTCCAGTCCATGAGAACTTAATGTCCTTATTAGGTGGAATATTTGGATAAGAACCAGACAATGCTGATCTAATATAGAAACCCTCCCCCACCCCTCAATTTGCAGAAAGGGTAAAAGCAGGACCAATAGAAATAATTAGGAAAATGATAAACCTGCAGGAAAGTGAATGATGGTTTGTTGTTCTTCTTTCCTAAACTAGTGGTCCCTTCAAAGGGGCTGGTCTGGCCAAAGGATTAAATAAAACATAAGATTTCTTCATTATTGATATTGTGGTCATGTATAATTAAAACTCTTATCCAGTGGCCCTCATGAAGACTTGGAAATTGATTTGCATTTAACTTTTACCTCATCTGGGAGCTCTTTATGCTCAGAAGGACCCAATTCTCTAACTTCTCCCAATACACAGCAAAACTGCACTCATGGTGTTCTCTGCCCACCCCATCCTCTGTTCGATCAGCTTGCTTTTCTTTCCAAGGTTATGTGTTGGAACACATTCCTCCAAATGTTAAACTTATTTCAGATAATAAATTTCAAAGCTCTGGCATTTCATTTTATAAAGTCCAACCTGTAAGAAGAGAAAATGATGTGTTTGTACAGCATTCACAGTGATTACCTCGGGTTTCCATTTTTTGCTTCTGAAGTTACCCCTTTTGGAGGGAGGTGGGGAAAAGCCAAGGGAGGGTAGGGAATTTGCAAGCAAGTCACTTGATAATTCGAATTTGCACCAAAGGAATTACCAGTGATTTAGCAGTTCCCATGAACCTCTTTGGGTCAGAAAGATTTAAGAGAAAACTAAAGCTACAAAACAGGCAAAACCTGGGGAATCCAAGATAAAGTTTCAGAGATGATATCCCATGCAACAGAGGCAACGGTGCCAATAAATTAGAAAGGGAAAGTGTCTGAGATCAGCTTCTGTGAGGACATCTGCCAATTGGACTGAAGCCCAAGCGGAATGAAGTCAAATTAGGCTGCTCAGAATGAACACTTAACAGTGGCAGGGCTTCTGTGCTCCTGGGCTGAAATCAGACCCAAGGAAGGGTTCTGTGGGTGGGTATGTCAGCACAGCCAGCGAACCCACAACTCCCCATTATTTCATTGGAAGTATTTTAGGTCAGTTTCTAGGAATTTGTGTCACCTCGGATCCTGCTAAGATTGGTGAGGCCTAGTTCTAATATCTTTTCCTAGTTCTAATATCCTTTCCTTGGAGTTGGTTTGGGGGAAAGGAGGGCGGGGGGGGGGGGAGGGGGAGAAGTAGTGTATTAGCAATGGAATAGACTCTTACAACCAGATTCTTCCCAGAAATGAACTTGCAATGACCATGAACGTAGTTACATTTTGGGTGTGATAAGTTTAATCCCTGCCTCGCTCAAGATTATGAATATCATATTTTTAAGTTAATAACGAGCAGTCTTTTATTCCTTTTGTTATAATCTTTTAGTTTCTTTTTATCTGTATCCTCCTTGCTCTCTCATGTAGGATCATGAGGATTAGATCCAATTTGAAAGGAAAGGGTAGGCTCTGTCAGCCATTCTCCACCCTTTCTTGCCATGGGAATGAGGGACAGACTGCACAGTCTTAACAACTTAAATATGAGAGAGAGAGAGAGAGAGAGAGAGAGAGAGAGAGAGAGAGAGAGAGAGAAGGGGAGGGAGAGAATTTACATCTAGCACAAGCATGTACATTTATTTGGCAGTTGCAGCCACTCTTGATTTCTGTTGCATTGGTTCTGACTAACTTGGGTGAAATGGTTTTCATTGGTATCAACTCAAATGTTTCCTCTTGTGTGTTATATATATGTGTGTATATATGTATATGTAACTATATACACACATACGGTAAATAATATGTACAAAGATACATATGCAGAATTATGTAATAGATATTTCATATGTATAGATGATGGCATTTTTCAGTTTAGTTACAGAGATTTTGTAATAGTTGAGAACTCTGCCCCTCTTGGCAGCTCCTTTGAGAAACAGAATATTCTTACATTTTATGTTGTTACACACATTTTGGCTTAAGTTCCTCATTCTGAGGGAAAAAAAAGTGTGTCATAACTAAGCCCATGGCATGACTCTCTTGAACCTTCAGTCACTGTCCTGTAGGAACCTTGGCATCCTTTTAGAGGGGGTGCTTTAAAAAGTGTAGTAGTTTCTGAACGTGGGGGATCACCTTTCAAAGTATATTAAATTGTGTCATCTGTTTTTGTGCTTGTCTGGGCTGCGTCATGCGCCTCCCTGGCCTGATTTTAACCTGCATGGCAGGTCCAGAATGCTCTGTTCATTTTTTATTTTTATTTTTTTTACTACAAAATCGGGGAGGATGAATGGTTTACACATTTATCTGTGCTTCCATCTTTTCATATTTTTCTCCTGCAATTGCTACATTACATTGCCTCTCAAGAGGCCAAGAGTGGAGAGATCTGTAAATCTGATCTAGCAAGTTGCCTAAGCACTAGATAATCTAAGTTCTATATTTTCCCCTCAATTTTTTTTTTATTGGAGGTGGAAAAATCATTTGTGCAATTCTCAGCACTTTTTGAAATAGCATATTTCTATCCTATAGTCATTAATATTAAGATATTGATTCACTGAATATCAATATCTTAATATTCACAGCCCCTCCACCCTCTCGGCCCAATCTGTTATAAGACCAAGGAGCACAGCCTTGCAGTAAAGATAAGTGTGACACAACTGGGCAATTATAAAGAGGTAAGAATGCCCTGGCACTGTTCCTTCTCTGTTTCATTTATGGTTTTTTTTTTTTTTTTTTTTACAAGGGACGGGTAGGACGAGATGGGGGAAGAAATGCAAGTCCACTTCTGGGGGGTAGATTGCTCTCCTCCACCCTCCACCCTGCTGACATAAATTACAGCCTTCTGCGATTCTCCAGGGCAGAGTTTCTGACCATCTCCCTGCCCTGCAAACTTCAAAGTGAACTTCTACCTGACTTGCTCTAAGTAAGACTTCTTAGGTTTTAATGTGCACATGAGTCACCAGCACCGCCTCGGGGAGAAGGCGGCATTAATGTGTATACAGCCCCGTTGGGATCGTGTTGTAGGTTCTGTTTCAGTACGTCTGGGGTGGGGGCCTGAGATTCTGCGTTTCTCACGTGCTCCCAGGTGAAGCTGTTCTTGCTGTCCTCAAGGAAAACTCATAATTATCTTCTTAATCACAACAGCAGAAAGTTGGATCACGTGGAGGCTCCCCTACCAAGTAGCACGAACAGGGGAAAACAAACAGCAAAACCTGTAAACAGGATGGCATCTGAATACATTTCACCATCCCTGAAATGATGCCCTACATAGTTTTTCTTTTCTTTTTTTTTTTTTTTTTCAAAGGCATTCTTTGCCCCCACAAGATGACTGGCAATTTTGTGTTCCAGCCACCCTCAGACATGAAAACACTTGGTTGCTTATCTTGTAAAATCTGCCTCACTTGCTTGCTCGGGCATGTACGTAGTCAGTTTAGTCAAATACGTGTCAGTACATCTATGTAGATGGGGGAGCAGGTGCAAGCCCTTAACGTACTTTAAAAAAGTTTAACACTTAAGTCAGTCCACTGAGCTGATCCCATGTGATCTTAGTGCCAAGCGTCTGAGTTAAAAGTTTTCCCTTTGAAGACAGCAACTCGATGTCATACATTTGAAGCATTTGTTTATACTAAAAGATGATGCTTGCCTTTTGTGTGTGTGTGTGTGTGTGTGTGTGTGTGTGTGTGAGTTCTAAGACAGTTTGCTGTACAACACCACCATTGAGCCTAGAGGGTGATATAAAGCTGCCTGAGCTGGTATTTGAGGTTTGATTTCATGGAGATTGGAATTCATGATGCCGAGGCCAGCTTCGAGTAAGGTGCTGAAGTGAATGGGCTCAGGCTAGGAAAAGCAAAGGAGATCAGCAAAGAAAGAACTTTGTGTTTGCACCTTCTTTTCAGCCAAATCTCCTAGGAGGGTCACCTGGCAGCCTCTTGTTACCGTGAGGGGAGCACTTTTGAAGATTTCCTACAACCAACACAGATTTGAATATTTGTTGAATAAATTCTGGGATGAATGAATTTCTTATCTCAAATATACCTTTTTTATATAATACCTATGTTTTGTATAGATACTATATTTGCATACATTATATACATATATATTTTCCTTTGGATATTATATATATGTATATATATACATATATAGTAAATATGTATGTGTATATATACCTAAGTAAACTTTGATTTCTTCCTTTCTAAAGTCAGAATGCTGAGTGTAGGTGCCTACGTTTTTATTCATTAGGTTTATTATTTCATTTGGGTTTCTGTGTTTTGGATTGAGTGCCTCTGAGGTGCTTAAGCAGCATGCCAGGCACCGACTGGAACACCACTTCCA